TTTGTACTAAAAGTGGACCTGTAGCATGACGGTATTGAATGCTCCATTTGTATCAATTCAATTTAATTTGCGTATGGCATGCACGATTTACTAAATACAACTAAACATCACTATTTAGTTTGTACAGTTGCACGGATTAAGTGCGATCACTCTATTGAATGCTTCATTTATATCAATTCAATCGTACAAAATCAAAATTGCACAGATGTGCGAAAAATCTGAAAAGCAGTTTTTAAATCGCCTTTGTTCTTTATGAACCGCGCAAAAAGTCAAACGAAATTTCATAGTTTGTAATTTTTAACATACAGATGAGAGAAAGTCAATCCCAGCATCTTTCTGATGTCAAAGAAATGGGAAAACAAGCYGAAGAGAATTTATCGAGACAAAGACAGCGACTGGAAACAATTCTTCGACAAAATGAAGACATAGCMAGACGACAAATAGGAGAAATAGAAGAAAATACACAAAAACTTGAAAGGCGGCGAGAAGAACTGCAAGAAGCTTTGAAGAAAAGCGAGGAAACCTTAAAGAAGTTMAGGCAAGGCTGATCAGTTGAACACTACATAAAAACATGAATTATTCATCTTAATGAGAAGAAAAATCTTTGATCATTTATTTTCCTTAATTTCGGCTATATATATAAACGTTATGATACTTGAAGTACAGTAATATAATTATAATAGTCGTGATAAAACATAGTATATTAGCGAGTATTTCACCATAACAATCAATGGTTTACCACTTTCTACCATAACTGAACAATATCAATCTCTTKGGGATCAAGAGGTTGAGATTATCATTTTGTTCGGCCAACAAGGGAAGAAGTTGCTCCAARTTCACATGAGAATATTATAGCCAATGTAGGAAACATGCGTAATGATCTAAATTTATCATATATTGTCAAGATATATTTTGTGTATGTGTGTCCATAGTGCAGAGAAATATGCCTATAACTATGTTTTAAGTGCTTAGTGCTTTGGACGTAYTATCGAGATCCCCTCTCTGAACGGYAGAACCAGTTGTTCAACCCTTTTATCATTYTTCACCATCTGGTTAAACTCGTGAAGCGCTTGCCGTCGCGAGTCGTCCGAGTCATACAACAATGCACACAGCGAGTTATCAGCGAGTATRAAGCCTGACGGGGTCAGCATATCCATGGCKAGGTTGTAGTACGCTATGTATTGATCCTTGGATGCGTCAAGGAATATGATATCAAATTTCTCTTCTGCAGTTTTTAATTCTTTCATGATTTCTACGGCATCACCGACCTGGAATATCGTAAAGACAATGATTAACAATTCTTCTTGGCACATCCTTCATGTAGGGTCCATGTTCAATGAGACGTTGTTTTCATTATTGTTGCTCTCATAGTACAGTCCTTCATTATAGATTCAGAGACWATAGTCTCCTTCACGGTTCCCCGCGCCATCTTGAAAGGTAGCCGTGCCTTTGCATCGAATCGAGATAACCGTTGAGCGTACAATAATAGACCCCTTGCATGTGACGTCAAAGCAGCTTCATCTGGAGGGCGAAACAAAAGATTTTTATCCTCTTGGGAACTAGAATCTATTCATTTRTCCTCCAGTTGGAGCTGCATTCCCATGAACTGCAAGGGGTCTATAGAAACCTTCTTTCACACCTACAGGCAATTATTCAAAGGTATCTATCATTGCACGCTCAACGGTTGTCTCACCTCGATGACAGACACGGCTACCTTTCAAGGTGGGGCAGGTAGTAACGGATAACTCAGTCATTGATCAAAATCGAGTAGTTATTGTGGAGAATCATCACCATCGCTGACAAGTACAACGCTAGTAATCACTCAACCTCACTATACATTACTTTGTAAAATTTTGTACACTTTAGAAGAGTTATATTTTGATATTTTCAACTGATTTTTCGCAAACTCTGTAGTTTTAGGCCATTCTTTTCATTGGTGGTATATAGGATATTATAAAACTTATTAATAATGCATAAGCTATTGCTCCAATAAGGGCTGACCATTTAATCAGGTGATTGACCTTGTAAATCTGATACAACCACTAGTGGTTGTATCGGATTTACAACACGGTCGTCACCATTGAGACAACCCAACACTAGCAAAGGTCTCAGTTTTAGTGTCGCATCATAGACCTTCACTAGGTTTTGAAGCAATCAAAGACGGATAACAGAACTCGCTTATGCAACAGATGGCTTGCTTTCCATGTGGGATGGATAATTATTCAAAATGTTCTGTATTGCAGTAAATTGCGCATGCTTAATAGGGACTAAACTCAGCAGTTACCTTATTTGTCATTTTTCGTCATTTATCTCACTGTAATTCATGTTAATTTGTGTTGGAGTTTTATAAGTCGTTTACAACATTCGCGTCCGTGTTGTATGGGAATTACAATCTCTCGCCTGCGGCTCGAGATTGTAATTCCCATACAACACGGCCGCTCATGTTGTAAACTATAC